CTTTCCTGGTCTTCTTTCTTTTAAATCCGCCGGTACTTGCGTCTCGTCGGGTGACCACGCAGGTGCGAACCACTACAGGCTGACGCAGATAACCATTCAAGATTGTGTTCCAGGATGGATTGCATCGCATGCACGAAGCAGCCGCTCTTGCATCATGATAGATCACGTGACGTCACGTGATCTGTCATGATGCACGAGCGGCTGCTTCGCGCATGTGATGCAATCCATCCTTGAACGCAATCTTGAATGGTTATCTGCGTTGGCCTGTAGTGGTCCGCTGCGTGCAGGACTTCCCAGTACTGTACGGATGGTGCAGGGGTGGCATACTGGGCGGGAGACTCTGTCTGGTAGTAGTGTGCTGCTGCTCTGGTGGGGGGTGGTGGCCCCGGGTGGTTCCATGGGTCTCGGTTCTGGGGGCAATCCCTGCGCATATGCCCCATCTTTTTACAGAGGTGGCAATGGACGTGGTTTTGAGGGTGGAAGCGAGCCTATGGGGCAGTAGCATTATTAAATTGCCTGGAAGGCATTAGTGGACTGAGAGGTGCTGCTGCAGGTCTGAAGAATGGTCTGGACTGGACCGGTCTCTGCTGTTGGCGGGCATCCAAATAATTATCCGCTTGCCTTGCGGCTTCTGTGATAGTGGGGTTACGGTCTCTCACCCACTCCTGGAGCCAACGCATTAAAAAATTGCTCCTCTAGCACCAACTGTAACAAGTTCTCCATGGTGCTTGCTTTGTGGGCTTTCACCCACCCCAGGGCGGCCCGGTGTAGTTGGCAGGCCCATTCAGCATGAGAATCTTTATCTGCTTTTTATAAAATCTCTATGCCTCTGGTGTGATGGCATACTTGGCGAGTATTACCTCCTTTACCCGGCCATGATTTCTTATTTCTTCTTCTGGGACAGTGCGGTAAGCTTCCGCTGCTCTCCCTGACAGTATGTTTGCCGACAGTCATCAACATCAATTTTATATAGGGCACATTATCTTTCAAAATCCTGGAGGAATGCGTCAATATATTCCTCTGCCTCTACATAGTTTTTAAATGCATTATAGGGTATTTTGGGCTTACCTTCTTCCACCACTGTCACTGCTTGGATTCTTTCAGGAGTTTGTTGATCCCTTTGCCTTAGCACTAACTCCTGGACCTCCGACACAAAAAATGTCTGTAGATGGGTTTTCCCCATAAAAGGACAACCGAAACTGTAACTCCCTCTGGAACTCCAACGGTTCCCGTTCCGGTACCGAACTATTCCGTTCGGGAACCAAACCGCCATCTGTTCGGTATTCTGCCATCACTTCAGCAACAAGGGTAGCCTATATTCTTGCTGCTCGCTCATATCCCTCTTGCCTTTAGGAGATCCTTTAGCATGGACCGTTTTAGAATGGAGTAGTCAATCTCCATCCATGGTCCATCTGACGCTGCTAAATCCACTGGTACTTCTTCCTCTGTGAGCTCTGGATCCCGACGCTGCCAACCAATGTAGCGGAGCCCTAGTTCTTGCAGGGACTCTCGTCTGCTGGGTACTCCAAGATATACTCAGGAACAAGGAAAACAATCCAATGGAACAGCATCTGCATCACACTCACTGACTCAAGATGGCTGCCATGCTCTCTGACCTGTGAGTCATCACAGGGGTGGAGCCACTAGTTAAAGTGAGAAGGAAGTGAGAGGGCAATGTCCTACATTCTAGGTATAACACAGGAAGACCATGCAAGATATTCAATCCCAGGATCCCTTGTGTCTGAGAGATAATTGCCTGAGTAAACTCCTCCAATTTAATTATCTCTCAAGCACAAAAAATCCACAAAATATCCTGTACCCTAAAAGTCTCCCAAATATACATAGGAACCCCACAAAAGTACATTGCCAGATAGCCACGATCTGAGTGACCAAGAATCACTCAGATCAGTTTGGTAGAACGGGAACGGGATCATGTGGAAGTTTTGGCCGGCCAGAGGTGGTAGCCGAAAATAGTTTCATGAGAATAAGAGTCCTGGCCAGTCTCTGTTCATAAGGTTCCTGTGCGAAAACCATAAAAGGGAATCTCTTGTTTTCATGATATGAATGCTCTCCCTGTTCGGTACTTAATATCTGCCAAATGCCGTTCGTGTAGGTGGTCGAGAACAGGAATGGTCGCCATTCTCCCAGCCATGTGTTCGGTTATATGAAATGGTGGCCACCCAGGAGAGCATTCATTAATTATTTCCCTTGCGGTTTTGCACTTAAGTGGTTGGTGTTAATGTTCTAATGGAGTACAGTTGTGGTCCTTGTTCGAGAGACGAACGGATTCTGTTCGTATGAAGTCTCCCGAACGGCCAAAGAAGTACCACACAAAATAACCGTCAAAACACATGAAATAACAGGGGAGAAGATACGGACAACCAATATAGGGAATAAAAAGTAGCTTGCAAATGTCCATTCCACTACACTCTCATTAGGGCTCCAGTCACAGTCTCTGCCTAAATGTTGTTCAGGGTGACTGCCTCAGGGTACCGAGTCACGTAGTCCACAATGGTCAGAATATACTTCTTCCCAGAGGGGCAAGGCTTAGCCAGGGGACCTATGATATCGACAGATATTCTGCCGAATGAGTCTTCAATTATGGGTACGTGCTGGAGCGGGGCCTTGCGCCGATCGCCCTGCTTCCCCACTTTCTGGCAGACATCACAGGTCTAGCAATACTGCCTCAGATCCTTCAATATGCCGGGCCAGAAGAAGCTTTAGGTGAGCCAATGCAGAATATGACCCTTCCCCAAATGCCCTGCCAGGGGGATATCGTGAGCTATCTTCAATAGCTCATGACGATATTTCCTGGGGGCCACCAACTGCTTGGTGGTAGTAGGAGCTGTCCCTGACTTCCCCTTTTCCGCTAGGTGGTATAGCAACCCCCTATCCCAGATAAATCATTATCCGTCCTTCCCCACCTGACCTGTGGTTGCCATTCGGCTGGAGGGTGGGGTCGGATCCAAACTCGGCAGGGGTATCCCAAGGCAAGGGGTGATGGGGCTTGCACAAGGGGCCTGTCTACTGGGACGACTACGGGGCGCTGGGGCAGGGGGACTAGCCTGGGGGCCCTGCTTACAGGGGTGACTGCGGGGAATGGGGTTATAGGGACGTGTATGAGTGTCTACCTGAGCCTCAGAGTGTGAGCCATGCCGGGTGGTGCGAGCTTGCTGTCGGGTCATCACCAGGAAGGTGAGGTGGCCCAGGTCATTGTCAAGCAGCACTTCTGCGGGCAGTTCATCCATGAGTCCGACTTCCACCCTCTTGTCTCCGGTGCCCCAGTCAAGGCGGATGTGGGCCGTGGTTAGGTGATAGATGGATTCCCGGCTACACGGACAACGACTGCTCCCCTGTTCTTCTCTGCCTCTGCAATGAGCCGGCTTTGCACTAGAGCAAGGGTGGCTCCAGATTCTCGTAGCCCCTGGATGGTGCGCCCGTTAAGATGGACCGGCTGCCTGTGGTGGGCTCAGTTGCGGCATGTATGATGGTCCAGGTTTCTTCGTGGTGGGTCGGAGGGTACGTGGTGGTAGCCTGGTAACAGTGAGCGGCTGCTCTTGGGGACCACAGGGCGATCCCACTGTGGTCGGTCTCTGAGCTAGGGGCACTCCCTCTTGAAGTGGCAGGGTTGCTGGCACTGATGGCACCTGGAGCCAGCCTGTGGTGGTACCTTCAGCTTTGGTCCCGGGCCTGGTAGGTTTCTGGGTGGTGGGTAGGTTGGGCCTGCCAGATGCAGTAGGGTCTGAAGGTGCACGGAAGCGGAGCCGGTCTCTCACTAATTTTTTTTTTTTTAATTCTTTATTTTTGTTGTGCAGGTGGTTACAAGGTTTTGACAGACGCCACAACAGCGTTTGTGAAGCTTTCACAATAGTCAGACAGTGGCATGATAATTCGCACAAATTTTATATTTTGCAAGCTTAACTGAGCAGATATGTCATCAGAGTGAAATTAAATAAAATATAACAAATAATGATGCTGGTTGCTTGATACTGCTAAGTCATCTATGCTAGTACAGGTATGGTGTGTTAACTCGTTTTGTAGAATAACAGTAGTTGATTGCACATTGGAGCAGTTGTGCCCCATTTTCAGAATTATGCAGTGTGTAGTTTAACAAAGCTTTTTAGAAACAGGCGTAAGTAACATGCCTTGTGTAGTACGTGGGTTGACAAAGCTTTTTAGAAGCAAACACAGATAATATACACTATGTAGATTATAATGTAATCAGTCCCCTGTAAAATAAGGCAAAACAGTAGACAGGTCTGATCAATTACGTAGAGATACAAAGCTAGAATAACCAAGTGCTGTCCTGCGACTAGCGTAGCTTAAAAGAAATAGTAAAGATTGCCCTGATCAATGCAAATTCGCTACTCATGTTATTTTTTTTTTTTAACAGATAGATAAATAGGATATTCCCCTGGGCGTCATAAAAACAAAAAGTAACTTTTCCTGGCTAACAGAGAAGCATCGCCCAGTAGTCACAATAAGAGGAAAACAGGCTAAGACATGGAATTGCATGACTGAGCTAAACACATCTATCGTGGGGTCTGTCTATGCAGAATCATTATGTTGATGTAATCTTAAAATGTGCTATACTGGGTGAAAATACGATAAGCCTCAAGGAGATAACCATGGGATAAAGGCTAGATACTCCTGTCTAAGCAATAGAACTTGTTTTGGTAGCTCAGAGAGGCTGGCTAGGCATGAGGGGTAGAACACGATAATAATAAAACGTTGCTTGTCATGCTTATGCGTCGTAGGTATGGAGCCATCTCTACATGGCTCACTATGTTTAATGCAATATATGTGTATATAAGAGTCAAGCTGGCATTAGCTATTAAAAGTAAAGAGTCACTGGTAAAGTTCTGTCCATATGGTAGCAACTAAAGAAAAATAAAAATGTTGTGGTTACTTGATGCGGGTAGTCCGCACATCGATGGTTGTAAGCGCGTCCTCCAGATGCAGGTGAGGCATGTCCACTTGAGGGGCACAGAGGTAGGCCTTTAGCCGATGCCCGTTGCATGGACGTGTCTCTTGCCGTCGACGTTTGACTCCTTGAAGGCGCCCCTGGACTGGGACTCCGCTCCAGCAGCATTTAGTGGGAAGTTTAGCTGTGCGTCTCCCCGGTTTGCGGTTGTAGCTTGGAGGGACTGGGTCAAGCTCTGCTGGACACCGGTCCTCGGGTCAGGTGAGTAGCTGGCGTGGAAGGCTGGTTGAATGGTCTTTGTCTCCTGAATGTGGGGGCAGGTGCGGTCGCCCATGTAACATGGCGTTGTTTCCCGCCCATGAGAGTGGCGGTGTTTACGTAGCCTGGCGGCCTTCACGGATGCCTGTGGTGGGTGTCTGTAATGGCGCCGGCGGGTCACTGGACGAATCCATGTAGCCACTAGTTTTGCTGCTCGGCGGTAAGCCATTCCGTGTTCGCGCAGCATAGTCCAGAGGCTCTCGCAAAGCTGGTCAAATTCCCCCAGGGGGTGGATGGATGGCTGGGCGTATGTGCTCCGCTCTTGGGGTCCTCGCTGGGCGGCCATCTTAGCTGCGTCCTAGTGGCCTGGTGGTCGCTGGAGCTGTGCCGGCCTTGTGGGACAGTTCCCGCTGTGGTTTTGCCTATGTGTCTCAAGCTTGAAATACCGGGATATCCCTCACCGGCAGGGGGGGGGAAGTGTACCGGGGAGACCTCCGAGTGAAGGGCTGCGGGTGGCGTGGATATCAGGCGTCTCCCTCGCTTTGTCCGAGTAGGCCTCGGGTCTATCCCCGGTTAGATGCCTCCGATTTCGGTCGGGAGAGTTGTCGCTGGGTTCTGCTTGTAAGTGCTCACTTCCCCAGGTCATCCAATCATCGATTTGGTGGATTTTTGCCCAAATTTGGGCTGATTAAGCGTGTTTTTGCACGGAGCTTGTCTCATGTGCGACCTCTCAGCATGGCAGCTTGGCTCCGCCCCTCTCACTAATTTTTATCTCTGGGGATAGACCATTGTAAAAATATTCCAACAGGAACAGCTGGAGAATGGTTTAGGTGGACTTGGCGTCTTGGGAGAGCAGCCAATTTTGGGCTCCCCGGGTTATGCAGCAAGCCCATTCAGCATGGGAGTCTTGGTTTCCCCTTTTGGACTTCCGAAGTTTCCTGTGATATGCCTCCGGGGTCACAGCATATCGGTCATAATCTCTCAGTCCTTCTGCTGGCACGGCTCTCTGCAGGCATCGACAACCTTACCGTTTAGCTTCCTGGAGAGAAGTGAACCCAGGCAGAGGTGTCAATTTCATGTAAAAGGCATAGTCTTTTGAAATCTTGGAGGAATTCAACAATTTCCTCCTCTGTTTTGGTGAACATTTTGAACGTTGTGTACAGCGCTTCTGTTCGGCAGGGGCTGTGTTAATTATAATGTAACTATTGAAACATTATGTAGCTGTACTGTAGCTGCTTTCCTTCTGTGCAATAATTTGCTTGATGTCAAAATATCAGAATGATTAAAAAATCTATATATTAATACAACTAATTTGGTGCCAACATAACAAAATTAGTAAGAGGAAAAATATATAAAACAAAAATGTGTTGAGTAGAAGATTGTTTATAACTGAATGAAAGATTATATATTAATATTAATAAAAGCTGTACATGGGGGGTATTGTTGTACTCGTCAGACTTCGCTGAACACAAATACGGGAGTTTTAGATGAATAAAATATAGACTGACAATGATATCATCAGTGAAGGTGCAGAACTTGTACATTTCTATTTCCAAGTTTACAAACAAGTTAGAGCAATGAAACTAACTGTTAAATAGAAATATTTCACAGATTTACAGGATAGAAGAGGGTGATACACATGTAAATGGAATACAAATTAATCTAATTTGCACAACAGCCAATCTGCATCGCTGTTCATCTAATTCTTTGTATAGAATTTCATAAACATTATTCTGCAGCAGAACTATTGTTTACAAATACAATTAGCCTAATTTATGTAAATGTTTAACCCCTATTGTGCCAGGAGGATTCATTATCATATTCAGGTAATCAAAGACGTGTTAGTAGAAGCAGTTCTCACTTATGCGTAAAAAAACAAGCTAACAAAACCATTCCAGTTAATAAAATGATAAAAACTAACAACTGTTAGTGTTAAATGGAATCCCTGAGAACTTATAGTGAAAATAATAATAATAAATTAAATAACTTAATATCAATAAAATAAAAATCAATAATGTAACAAATGGCTGAATTTGCTTTTTATATCTGTAGTTAGTTGTGGAATATTAAAAGTTATAATTTATACAAATATTAAATCCCAAAATAAGTGGAATTGGCTTAAATTTACTCTTTATTTTCCAATCATTGCAGAAGACAAATACACTGATATTATTTATTATTATTTATATCACAGCAGTTACATAAATAAACTGTGTTATAATTATTGTAAAAATAAATCTATTTAGGGAAGAGATGGGTCCAAACTTGTATCGTTGTCGCTTTAGATATTTGTAATAAGTCCATCAACCCACAGACTGCTTCCAATAATGGTAATAAATTATTATTGTATCAGATTTTTATTTTTTTTATTTTACTGTGTGTGACAGCAGTGTTGTTCTTATGTGTTATAACATGAATGAATAAACATTGAATTGTACTCAGCTGAAACTGGACTGTAAAAGCTGATTGGAATAAAATCCTCTAAGAAAGCTACAGTCACTGTTTAAACACTTTAGCCCATAGGTTACCATTCTATTTTGAATTCACTATAATTTAAGGTTTATTGAACAGTTTGAGGTCCAGTAACTAAAATGCAATCAGGCTATTGTCACTGACAGTGTCACCATGTGAGATATGCTTATTGGATTTATTTATTTAATATAGGAAAATATTAGATCTTTCACTAGAGAGGGATAAGTATAGTCCATTATCTATATTCAGGTATATAAGCAACCATTTATAATACAGCAATAACCTATATGAAATGATTTAGTGCATATTTAAAATGCATTAAGGATACATTTTCATTTCAGTTAGTTTTAGTATCTACATATTTTGGCTTTACCCTGATCATACATTAGCATATTACTAAACCGTGTCCAGTGACTGGCCAATCAGATGCGAGAGATTTAGGGAATGTCTATGGAGAAAGGTTTACAGAAAGATTCATTATTGTAATTCTAATCAGTGGGCGGGGCTTGGCCTTTGGAACTCAATATAGAGAGAGATTCACCTCTAGGCTGACAATCAATGACTTCAATTAGAGCAAGAACTGCAGCAGGTACAAGGACCCAAGGTAGCCAAATCTCCAGGTAACTTGCCACTTCTAACTGCTTTATGATAACCTTGTATAGCCATGCTGGGAGACCAGAAGCCTAGATTGTTTTACTTTATTACCTAACCTTTCATTGATAGGGAGGATGGGGGGTCTTCAAGGTGTCCTACCCAATCCATGCCCCCCTTATTTTCTGGGTACAGTGATCAGCACTAATGGGGAGCACACTGGTACCTGCTACACACTGGGAACATTTTATTATAGAGAGTATTTGTTTTTAAACCCTCTTCTCCATGGATCAAACAGTGCTGCTTGCTTGTAGAATAGTTACTGATATTCCTGTTGTGTAGATAACAATGGGGAGGGAGGGAGGGAGAGCAGGGGAGGGGGTCATTTTTGTAAACTGCATTAGGGGACAAACAGGGATAAAGTTTATTTCTTTCATTGACTTGTTATTGCTGTTGTTTCAGTTTGTTATAAATACATAGCTATTTAAAGGGACACTATAGTCACCTGAACAACTTTAGCTTAATGAAGCAGTTTTGGTGTATAGAACATGCCCCTGCAGCCTCACTGCTCAATCCTCTGCCATTTAGGAGTTAAATCCCTTTGTTTATGAACCCTAGTCACACCTCCCTGCATGTGACTTGCACAGCCTTCCATAAACACTTCCTGTAAAGAGAGCCCTATTTAGGCTTTCTTTATTGCAAGTTCTGTTTAATTAAGATTTTCTTATCCCCTGCTATGTTAATAGCTTGCTAGACCCTGCAAGAGCCTCCTGTATGTGATTAAAGTTCAATTTAGAGATTGAGATACAATTATTTAAGGTAAATTACATCTGTTTGAAAGTGAAACCAGTTTTTTTCATGCAGGCTCTGTCAATCATAGCCAGGGGAGGTGTGGCTAGGGCTGCATAAACAGAAACAAAGTGATTTAACTCCTAAATGACAGAGAATTGAGCAGTGAAATTGCAGGGGAATGATCTATACACTAAAACTGCTTTATTTAGCTAAAGTCATTTAGTGACTATAGTGTTCCTTTAATATTGTTATAGTGCAGTCGTATTGAGTAATCTGGAAATGTTATAGATATGAACTAAAGCAGATACAAAGAAAGATTAAACGTTATCCTAATATCTCCATTAGTAACTTGTTAGAATTCCCCCCCTCCCCCCATTAAGAATCAGCCTACCCCCTCCCCCCCAGTTTGTTTTTTATTATGATAATGTTTTTATAAACAATAGGCCTGCTGCAATATAATGTTAATTAAAATATATCCACAAATCATGTGATCAGACAGTTTGTTAAAACACATTGATTTGTATCTGAATTAAATGTGGATCAAGCTATTTTCCTGTAAATGTGTGAAATATTTCTAGTAATGCTCTGGTTGCTTTATAAATACTTTCTCCCTTTTTGTGTAATTGATGAAAAATAAATATAAGTTTAAATAGCAATAAAACAAATTTGGTGCCAAAATAGACAAATGTTTGAGTTTTGCACATCTGCCGTATTTGCATTTCAATGAACAATTTAATGAATAGCTGCACGGACTTTACAAAAAGTTAAGATTCATTGTATTAAGTCTAGCGTTTATTTTGCAAAGTCGTTGTTGCATATCTTACAGAATAAACCACATTTTAACCCAATTTTATTATTCTTTAAAAGCCTATTTCTTTGGTTTTACTATCTCCACTACAACACTGTGCGTCCCCTCCTAGATTTCGCTGCGTGCATTGCATTTAATTTATTTTTAAGGTTTATTTACCAGATTGATTTTGGTTCTGTGATCCTGTATCTGGGTTTCAATCTGATTTTAATTCATTGTTGTTTAACTTGCAAATTATCATTTTATTACTAAATCACTTTTTTATTTTGTGAAAGAAAACGGATTGGAATTTGTTCACTAAACTTTATTTATTGTAGAAATTACAAAGTGCTTCTACATGTTAATAATTTTTCTTTAGTTGAATTAACAACAAATTTATGTAGATTTATTTTTTATTTTCATTTTAGTTGTGGACATCTTGGATTTGCTTGAAAAGTCATTGAGATTTCGGCAGTCAACTGTCAACCACTTTAAGTAATCATAACAGTGAAAACCGTTACTGAGAAAGTTTCATCACAAAAACAAACTACAAATTGGGAACTTGGAGTAAAAAATGCCACCTCAGCCTTTGTCAGAGTTCATGGATGATGCTGAAGGCCTTGGTAGTGCATGTGAGGGTCTCGTTGAGAGAGGTTCCAGCAGTGAAAATGAAGATCCCACCACTAATAATGAGAGTAACCGCAAAGATATTAAATGTGAGATTAGCCACTTGGCAAAGCACAAAGAAGCATACCCATTTCATTGTCATATCTGTGGAAGAAGATACAAGAAGGACAGGTTTTTGAAGAACCATGCAATAACACATGATGGAACATCGAAGGGCAGGAAACGGAAGAGGAAATCAAAGGACATTAGGACCGATCAGCCAAGCCTTGATGATCCTGTTACAATAAATGGTGTCGTTCAAGAACAATCAGACAAACCGCTATCCAGTACTTTGAAAAAATGCATGTTTTGTGGCCTTTTTTATATCAAAAATATCCTCAGAGAGCATTGTAATATACATATTGCAAGATCTGTTGCTACTGAAAACCATTCAACTGGCCCAACACCTGAAATTAATCACACTGCTCCACCTTCAACGCTCTCTGCAAATGGGTCAAACCAACGGATCCCAGAGACAAATAATGTTTCTTTTTCATCTGATGACAATAAGCTGGATAAAGAAGAATGTGAAAAGGGTCTCTTCATGGGTTTTCTAAACCTAAAGCCCAAATCATCTTCTCCAGAGAAACCAAAACAATCCATAATGTGGATCGCAGCACTGGATCCAGTGGTCAGTTGTCAAACTTGGCAATTAGACACCACAGGGAAATTGGATGACCGTGGCAAAGGGAATAAAGGAAGACAGGGGGGTAAAGCGGGTGGATCTGTGGTTCCTGACAGAGAAGATGCAATCAAAAAGGTTCCTTTGCTAAATGAATATCCTGAAAGGTCATCCATGAGTGGAAGTGGAACTGAAAGTCCATCTGTTTCTTCAGATACTGCAACCAATGTGGAAAATCAAATCCAACAGATGCTAAATCATGGTGTTTCAGTGGACATGTCAGAAGATACACGGAGTGAACCTATGCAGACAGGTAAGATATTCGTCTACTACAATCCTCACAATTTTTGAATTTTATAATTTCTCTGTGAAACAGTTAAGTAAATGTTCAGTGGGTATAATTATTGGATATTTAAAATGTTTTATGGCAATAGCTCCCTCTATTGGCAGATTATTTACATTACTGAAGATTATTACAGTTTATTCTGTGTCAAGGATCTAAATATGGGCGATGGTGCTGCTTATTAAACTCTGTGAACGAATTGCTTTATGTGTCACATCCAGTGATTCCTCGTTATAAAATAAATTGACACTTTGTAATATAACCCCCTCCCCCCCATTCTTACTGCTGATGAGGAATCTTTTTGTCAAACCTTAAAAAAACCAAACTATGACTTCACCTCGAACAAGTGGATTGCTCTAGTTGGTGGGAGACACGTTTGTTTATGAAAGTATTCTAACACACTGCTTTAGGATGTTTTTTTTATATATTTAATTACATTTATTTCTGTGTGAATGACTAAGTGTATGTTTAAATAATTACCAATGATAAAAGAGTGCTCCAGGGAACCAAAATTAATCTGGAATTTTCTGTTTATGTCTTTTTCAAATCCTTTTAGAAAAAACAGAGGAAGATCAAAACAAGAAGAAGGAAACCCAATCTCCAGTTTGTTACGATTGTGGAAAAAGTTTTGCTTCAAAAAGTTACCTTAGTATCCATCTCCGTTCACACACTGGTAAGCTACGTTTAAAATAAGAAAATAAGAGTCTTGTGTTACAATGGAAATGCTGAAATCCTTATGAAATTAGTTTGTAGACTTTGGTTATCGCTCCGAACTGCCCTATACAGAGACAAAAAATAACAAATATATTTATTTATTCCATACACTGTACACACTTTTTATCCAGCAGAGATTAAATTTGTATCTTCTTACTTAGTCCATGAATTATTAATATTTGATAAGTTTTTCAAATCGTTTCAGATTGTCCGATAAGATTTAAAATTATTGTTTAAAAAAAACCAATATATCAAAAATATTGTAAAACTTGAGCATTTTTCAAAAATAATTTTAGAAATTAGTCCAGAAATATGTAATGATTTGAAAAGATAATCCAAAAAATTTAAACTGAGGCCTTAGTTTGGTCCATAGCTTGGAGTTTTTGTATTTCTACTTCTAGTTAAGAATTATTTTGGTCAGTTTTAAAAGGGAGTCCAAAACTTTAATTTCTATAAAACATTGTATTGGATGAAGGTAGGTTACATTTTAAGATTTTTTTTGCTACCTCCTCTATAAATTAATGTATAATAAAGCCTATTGACAGCTCGCTTCTAACAGATGTTTTTATCATTGCAGGCGAAAAACCTTACGAGTGTGAAATGTGCGATTATACCTCAGCACAAGCCACCTCTTTAAAATACCATTTGCGACACCATCATCACTTTAAGGAAGAAGATGCCAGTGCTAAAGTGAAGCAGATGAGTAAAATAGTTTCTCAAAAATCTGCCAACTCTTCATTAAAAGAAGCCAGGCCAGATAGTGAGGAAGTGAATACTCCTAAAGAGGACCGCAAACCTCCAATGAAACCATATAAACTTCTTCATTCTTTTCAAAACACACCTGGAGATTTAAATCCACCTTTAGGAAATGGGGACCCTGTTAGACCATCATTCATCCTTAATGGTGATGTTGATGAAGCATTACCTGGCCAGTCTGAATCTGAAGAGGTGGAAGTGACTGACCTTGGACTTCATCAAGGAAGTCATACAACCCCTCCTGTAAATCCTCAGTTTTTTCCATTAAATTTATGTTTAAGAAGTGTTGAAGATAACCAAAAATATCCTGCAACGCTTGCCTTCCCGAACATTAATAAATGCAAATATTGTAGCTACAGTTCGTTGAACCCAGAAGTTTTGGAAATGCATAATAAGCTTTCTCACAAATCATGTATTGCTCTGGAGAATGGAACCAAATATAAAAGCACTGGACCTTCTATTAAAAAGAGACGTACGGGATGCCCTGCTGCATTAAATGGATTTGACATTTTACCCTTACAGCAAGGTGGTCTTATAGCTAATGGTCCAACATCACAGCCCAAGCTTCTCCTCAATGAAAAGGCTAAACGGGCACCTGCTTTACCCTCTGTACCAGATCTGAGAAATATAGATCAAGAGAATTATTTATTGCACAACATTCAACACAATGGACTTCTTTTGAAGAGAATGCAATATCCTGAACCTAACCGAGCAACTTGGAATGGATCGAAAAATCCCACCGATGGAAATACTGTGCATAAATCTCAATATACATGCTCTGGTGACAAATCATTTACTAAGCCCAAGGACTCTAACCTAGAGCCGTATGCCAAGAAGGCTAAGCGCAGTATGACAAATGACTTGACAAATTCTGATGTGGCCAAACATTTATTAAATTCTGGTGTATCTGGTATTGCTGCTCAGGAGATGGTTCCAGCAGAACATTCAGCCTTGGCATTGCCTAGCAAAGGTCTTCAATCAACACCGTTACTTGGTCCAAGTGATCAGTCATCTGACTCAGGATCTACCTCTGCTACTGAAGGTAAAGACCATTTTGTTGATCTATAGTTAGGGGAGCACTGACATGCTTGCTTTAATTGGGTTAAACATATCCCCATGATGATACAGAACAAGGAATTGTACCCACACCCAAAGAACCCCTGAACCTTAGTTAAACCTAACTATATATATTTTTACCGTGTATCAGTTAAATCTGGCTATGGTTTCCTTTTGAAAATAGCAGGGTCCACTTGGCTAAGCTAAGTAGATAGTGAAAACATTGAGGCAATTTTTTCATTTTAATGCTAAAATGAGCAAATTTGGCAGTTTATTTAATATTCCCCTAAATCGTTTCCTTCTACTGTCTTGCAATTACCATGTGTGCATTCTGTTGGTGATAGACTGTGGTAGACTGTTTGCATGCTATTGTTATATATTAAGAGATTTAAACTGTTATGTTTTATTTTTTAACAGTGTTTTTTTTGTCCCCTCATTTTATTACACTTAGGAATTAGATGCTCTTCCCGTCTTCGAGCAAAACAAGATTCTTCACTCAAGAATAAACGATTTTCAGAATACATAATTTATTAAAGAGGTAAGATAAAGACACACATTATTCATACTGATATTCAAATGGAGTTAAACTATTAACATGAACTAGTTGTACGCCAAGACCACTAATTTTAATTAATCTAAATTTTTTTCTTTATCTGTGAATTTTAAAGGTCATAGTGATGTTTAATGTGACTTTATTTGTAATTCTAACCCAATTTTTCCACTTTTTTTTACAGACGTGTTTAATTGGATTGTTGAGCATAAGTTGGAAGTCATCATTGGAAAATATATACCTGGAACCTTCAGGAACATTGTGGACATTTTTGTTCATTATAAATAAACTGTGTGAAATGCAAATATTATCTGGACTAAGCTGTTTGGAATGCGTTTGGCGTATGTGCACATATTTTTGAAATATTGAAATATAGTCGCAAGTAAATATTTTCTTACATAGACTATATAAAGTTGAAATATTTTCTTCAATGAAATTGACCAAAGATGAGGGACAAATCTTTTTATTTTTAAAGAAAATTTATATCCATAAATGAATTTATTTTTCATATCTCTAAATTAAATGTATCGATTCAAAATGTATAAAAGGATAGAAAATGTGAAATCATCCTGTGCAGTGATATTTTCCAGCACTTATTGTATATAAATGTACATATTCAGCTCAGGTATATTGTGTGAGAAAATAAAAGGAAAAACTGAACTCTTTCTGGGTATGTGTCACTTTATATTTCTGTGAATATTTATTTTGCAAAGTTTAAATTGTTATTGTTAAATACTTAATGTCTCCTGATGTTGCTTCAATATCATAAAATATTCTGGCCTGCTCTATTTCTGTAACTTATCTGCTGAGTGCTGGTGGAGAGTTAACCCCACCCTCCTACCCTCTTACCCTCCTACCCCCACCTCACAAAATTATAAAGTATCCCATTCAATATATGGCCAAACAAAAATGATGTCCAAATTCCTATTCCTTATGTTACTTGCCCTTGCAAATGATGTGGAGACTAACCCTGGTCCCCCAGCTAATTCTAGTCCTAATCTCCCCCACTAAAAAAGGCCTCTCTTTTGTGCACTGCAAACCTGGTGTTCCCATTACAAACCAAAAATCATTGTGCTCTCAGAATCATGGTTAACGACAAAATTCCCAGACACCGCTATTGCAATACAGGGTTATTCATGTTTTAGAAATGACAGAGCAAAGAGGGGAGGAGGCATTGTTATTTATGTTGACAAGTCTATAAAATTTTCACTAAAACTATCATTGTTGCTGAACTCAACTGCCCACCTCACTCTCTGGTGCACTCTCTTTCTGACATAGCCCAACTAAACTACTAAGTGAAACTGTAGTTTAAAACCAAAAAGTGAACGATTTTTGTAGATTTTAATATTGATTGGCTGAATCCTAAAAATAATAAATCATATTCGCTGTTTAATACTTTGCAGTTAACAGAATTAATATTAAAAGCCAGAACCATACCTCGCTCGATTGGATTCTCTCCAGTTGTCCTGACAGAATCCAGGAGGCGGGTGTTCTCCCTAACAGTTTCAGTAACCACTGTCTAGTGTACTGCATACGCAAAATGAAGGCCACTAAATCCCCTCCCAAGATTATATTCACCAGATCCTTCAAAAAACGAAATCTTGAATCCTTTTTAAATGATCTCAAGAACATACCATGGCACAGATTAGGTCTAATGCCAGATCTAGACTCTGCAATTTAATTTTTTCAGTCGGAGCTCTTGCGAGTTTGGAATTTGCATGCACCTCTGCGTAAAGTGCGACTAAAAGGGACATACTTGCCCTGGGTTACAGCTGACCTCATTCAAATGTACCAGTTTAGAGACTCACTGTGGTCAAAGTTCAAGCATACTGGCTCCATGAATGATCACTGCACTTACAGACATTGGCGAAATGCATTCACAAAACAAACAAAAATGGCAAAGGCCCAATATTTCAGTGAAAATTTGAACAACAACCTTTCAAACCCAAGAAACCTCTGGAAAATCATAAATAGCATACAACCCCTCCCCCAATCCACTCCCAGCCCTCCACTGTCAAAATGGACAACCAAACACTGCAACACCCCCTTGATGGAGCAAATGCCTTTAATAATTACTTTGTTGGATGTGGTACCACCCTGGTTGCGAAGATAACAAATGACACACATTGTCAGACCGCAAATAAAGATCAGGCCCTGCCAAATCTTCAAAATCCTCAAATAGAGAAATTCAAATTTAGACCTGTGCCTGTTAGTGTCGTTAATAAACATCTTAATCATTTAAAAATTAAAAACCAGTGTGGACCAGATCAAATCCCAGCAATGTTGCTGAAGGTCACAAACGCAGCAGCGTTTTAGCCAATCAGGTGATCAGGACAGCCGTGCAGCTCGCGGCAGCGATGATCATCTCAGATTTTAAAATTGGGATACTGCAGGTGGTTAACTCATCCAGAGACAAAGAACCCCCTAATGTAGGATAGAGATCAATGTAGCAGGTACTAAATATAATAAAGGAAGAGCACCACTGACAATGTAAGGGGGTAACAATGATTTATTTACTCAACCAAACATGAACTTACTCCTATGAAAGGGTTATGTCAGCAGAGTGGGAAGGTGATATAATAAAGTGACAATAAATAAGAAGCATTTCTGAAGTACTAACAGTTAATAGTAACATATGAAAATGTAACAAAACAATCTTTGATCATTAAGGTGAAAAACAAACCGTCTCTGAGAGAAATATTAGTATAGTATAACTCATAATCCGAGAGCTTCTGGAATGAGTTTCTTAACCTCCAGAACTATTTAGGAGGGTCCTTGGCGATCCTGTCTGGGTAGCCGGTTGTAATCTGTAAAGATAAACAGAATAAATATAAGTGAAAAAGAAAACAAACACACAAAATTACTTTAATTAGAAGATTCCCAAACCAAAGAAATACCCTGCCGCCACCAGGCACTACAAATAAACCTGGGGAGGGAGGGAGGGAGGGATGGGCGCTTTGCTAGGTGGTTATGCTTAACCCTAGAACAAAGAAAGTTTGCAGGTCATCGATTCCTGCAAACTCTATATTGTCCCTCCGGGAGGCATAACCACCAAAGCTAGTGGGTTGAATAGCACACACCTGGTGGTGGTCCTAAGGAACTGTAAACATTCAACTTCAGATTGCCTCCAGTAAAACTTAACGAAAGTCTTACTGGAGGACCATCTTGCAGCTTTAACCCCTTAAGGACACATGACATGTGTGACATGTCATGATTCCCTTTTATTCCAGAAGTTTGGTCCTTAAGGGGTTAAGGATAATAGGAAGAGGAAGGCCTCTCACTGTTGCTTTTGAAGCTGAAGCCCCTCTTATAGAATGACCCTTAAAAACTGTCACATCAATACCCACTGCAGACATAGCAGACAGTATCCAACCCCTGATTGTGTTAACCTTAGCTGGCCGAAAAGGTTTCCTGGAAGTGATAAGTAATTGCCTAAAGTCTTGTCTGACTGGGGCAGAAAGATTCAGGTATGAATTTAACAAATTAACTAAACATAAACTCGACTCAGCAGAATCCTGCACCAAATCTAGTTCTAAAGGACCCGGGAAAATATGGGAAGTCTTCTGACAAGAAATCCCCCATGGTGTGACAATATTTAACTGGGTTAATTCTGAGCCTCTAGCTGCCAGAGCTAAAGCTAGAAGGGATGTCAATTTAATTGCCATCCATTTTAGGTCAATCTGGTCATTGTCCACAGAATTAAGGTAGTTTAATAAAAGGTCCACATCCCAAGGGGAAGTGTATCTTGGAGTAAAAGGCCAGCAGACTGATAGCACTTTGAGTAACCTGAGGTAAAGGGCATCTTGGGTCATGTTAGGGATTAAAAATTTAATGCAGAACCATACGTCTTAATCGTACTGACCGCCAACCCTGAATGATATTTGAGCGTGAGGGATTCCAAAGCTACGGGAATTGTGTCAAATTCATGGGAAAGGGAATTGAAGGAAACTTCCCATGCTTTAAATTCCTCGATCATCTGTTTGTATCGTAACCCTGGTCCTGCGCCGTAATGAAGAATTAATTATGTCTAAAACCCGGTCGGACAGAAGAGGATGCGTCAAAAACCTACCAGGGCTGCTATCCACATAAATTGGGGGAGCTTGGTTAAGAGATCCCTAGTCCCTAGGAAGCAATCCGCTGTCCAGCCTAATGGAACCTTTGGTCCTCTGATTAGAGGACCAAATGGGATACACTGGAGGTCCAAATGGGGTACACTAAAACCAGATTGGGCACCCTGTCCCTGCAAAGTTTCTCTAACACCTTCATCAGAATAAATGGAGGGGGAAAAGTGTAAAGGCCCGGAATGTCTGTCCATTGGAAGGACATCGCATACATCTTCCAAGCTCCTTTTACCCAAGTCCTGGTTACAAATTTGGGAGTCTGAGCCAAAGTCTGAGATGCAAAAATATCTATCTTGCCCAATCTGCTCTCTATCAGCTGAAATAAGGCACTCTTTAACTGG